CTTGGCATGACTTTTTAGAGATAAACAAGCAGCTCCATCGAGACTTGGCTACTTTTTTACAGATTGTTTTTGGTGGGATTTCACTTATTTTTATAGAAGAATCCCATCAAGGTGAATAACTTTTGCTTTGAAGTCATATCTGTATCTCCTATGGTGTAGCTGGGCTCCTAGTGGTGTGCCTGGCCTAACCTTCGATTATCCTAGTTTTTAAAGTTTTCCTTTGGTCATTAAAATCTAACTCCGTACTAAATTTCAGCTCTCTGAGTTTATGGGAAGCACTAGTTCTATTTTGATGATCATTAGTGAGTGAGTGTCTGTCTAACATCTGAAACTTTGCCTTTGCTTAACTTCGGAACTAAATGACCTACGGACTTGAAATTTTGGCTTTTAAGTATGTGATTATAGCTTACGACGAGATAGGTGCCTGAAAATGCGGCGAAATTGTTCCAGTAAAGGATGTGTTTGCTTTGCGCTCGACTCGGCGGGGGCACTGCCGTGCTCCCAGATATAATCTGGTTCACAAAAGAAGGGGACCCGAAATGGCAACATTATTGTTGACATCTTGCTCAAATGTCATGTAATATGAAAAAGACGCAAACAGTAATGTTGCCATTTCGGGTCCCCTTCTTTTGTGAACCGGGTTATAGACAATAAAATTTCCACCGCTGACAGGATTTGAACATGCGACCTTCAGCATCTGCACTGCTGTATATTCACACTTATGTCATTATCATTGTCCCTTTTTGTAATAATTGACATTTCTCAACTGAAGGTCGGGTTTCCAATATTGCTAAAAAAAATATGTAAGTATCTAGGTACTGGAAGTAGTGTTAGAATTCAATGCCCATAATATTAGGTGAAATTTTACTAGTGGCTGATAGTGAAATCTCAGATCGGGCTGGTATAAGAATCAACTTTGTCCAACGAACATGGGTCGAAATATGAAAAAGAATGTACCTCCCATACAAACAAAGTTGCCAATCAGCTGATGTTTTGAGTTACTAGTGGAGATATTTTTTTTTTATATTTCGACCTTTGTTCCTTGGGGAAAGTTGAACCTTATCACCAGCCCGTCCTGAGGTGTCGGTCACTAGTCAAATTTCATTGTATATAAATTTTAGTACATATAAATATATTTAAAAATTGACTATCTGTGTAAGCCATTACTAATTAAAAAAGTATTACTAATTAAATTACCAAGTAAAAAAAATTTTGATAGGTGCGTACATTGTTTGGTCATCAAATTCAAATAATGTATTGGCGACTCTATGTACTCTGTGCCAAAGTCTCCGTGACGTCTCTAGCAGATATTTTCGCAATTTAAAAATCTGTGAATATCTAATCTAATCTATAGGTAAATATAAAAATTATTTTGTGAATATGTTCATGTAATTATGATGGTTTTCATTGATAATAAGCAATAAATAATAATCCAATAATCTTTCATCAAGTTAAAAAAAAAACATGAAAGAATAAGTAATAAGTATTAAGAATTTATGATTAAAGTAAGAGTGTAAAAAGAGAAAACCTAAAAATATCCAACAAAATAAATACAAAAAAAAACTATATCTCGGGGATTTGATCCGAGTACCCAAAGTTTATTAGTATGCAAAAGAATTCACTCACTCTAGCCACTAAGCCAAAGTCACATCCAAGAGAGGTATCAAAATTTAGAGTAGGTATCGGCAAACTCGTTCAAAGTAATGCGATTGATTAGAGGAGATTCCATGCATCAACACTTCTCTCTACCAATAAGGTGTCTACATTATGTGTACGTACGCATTATATTGGTAAAAAAAGCTAACTACTCTTCTTCACTAACATAAATATAATTTACTTTTTCACATGAATAGATAGTACTTGATAAATATGAACAAAACGTTCACGTATAATGCTAAATGTACTTATTTCCTTATTTTTTTGCATTTTGCTATTTTCGCGTTGAAAAAATCTTTTTTGCGCTTCCTCGATATGATTGTTTTTGATTTGTTGCCCATTTTTCAAATTTACATTATGGGTACACTGGATGTGGGAGGCACAAGACCGTAAACTGGCGTAAAAAAACTAGATACACTTATTCTAGTAACGTATCTTATTCAGAGTTGACTACAAAATATTTAGAAGCCTAAAAATGTACACAATCTTCAAATAAACAAATAACTGAAATTACGACAAAAGCTGTCAGTTTCGGCGTAGCGTGCGACATGACCTCTCTCTGGCAGTGGCCACGGTGGAATGAGAGCGCAGCTGGGTGTGGCCTGTTTGCAATTCGCGCGTACGCGTTAGAAAGGGACAGAGCGACCAGTCCGCAAAATGGTTGAAACCAAGCCGTTGTTGAAAATCTAAAATTATTGATTTTTCAGCAATAAAAGGTTTAAATAAAAAAACAAACGTTGAAGAACTAGATAAGTATAATGTGCTTATGCTTACGAAAAATCATTGATTAGCTCGGCACCCGTTTCGGCATAAAATGAAAAAAATGAAAAAAATGGAGTCATCTTTGGAAAAAAAATCTATCGAGAAAATTTAATCGAATCGTGTTTTGCGAACGTTGAGAATCTAGCAAATATTATCAAAAATCATATATAAAAAAACCGGCCAAGAGCGTGTCAGACACGCCCACAAATAGGGTTTCGTAGTCAACGTTTAAATATCAGGTTTTTCAGCATTACAAACTTAATTTGTTGCTGGTTTGTTAGCAGCAGTATGATGACCAACCGCAAATAGAAAAACTCAATTTTTTCTGAAACCTTTAAAGGTACAATATTCGTTATAGTTTTCATTGTAACTTCAGATTGTAAGCTACATTCCATATTTATTTCAAATTTTTAGCGTTTATACTTTAGAAGTTACAGCTGGAACAAATTATGGGTCAAAAACGCCCTTTTTAAAAGCAAATATCTCGTGACAGGAACATTTTAGTGACTTTGTTTCAAAGAAACCTCACCTTAATTTTAAAAGACCTATTCAACGATACCCTACTCAATATAACAGGTGGAAAAAATTTTTTTGCCCCCCCTTTCACATGTATGGGAAGGGGGTCCAAAAAACATTTAGAATATTTTTTTCTTAACATTTCTTTATTTGGGTCAACACGATCTATCTTCTCACCAAATTTCATGTCGATAGCTCTAAAACTGACGAAGATATGAGGGCGCGGCATACAGACAGACAGACAGACAGACAGACAGACAGACAGACAGACAGACAGACAGACAGACATGACGAAACTATAAGGGTTTCTAGTAGACTACGAAACCCTAAAAACCACAGTCAGGTGTCGTCTCCAAGTGGAAGTATTTTGAATTGAAAAAACCCTTTTTGCATCACGGCACGGCCTTAAGAAGAACATAACTCGTACAATTTATGGAATAAACACTAGAAAAAAATGGTATAATTTGTAAATAAAAGATTTATTTTGTTGAAGTTTGTATGGTTTTATAAATTTTCTAAAGAAAATGAATTGAAATTCTTTATTGGGACTGGTCATTGAAATAAAAGTAGTACCTACCTACCGTCCGATATTACCTTTCTGCAGTACCTAACGAACGCAAATAATATCTTGGAAAACTGAATTGTACAACCAATACACATCACCGTGTCCCAGAAGGATCGCTCGCGGCGATGCTAATGTCAATATTCGATGTCAACAGTCCCTGTGAGTTCGGCCCTTTAGTACAAGTTACGAGAAAGAAGCGTATTTATTTATTTTTATTTGGGAAGCTTACAGCCTTCTTTACAAAATACATGACAAATAATAAAATATGCCAATAAAATATACCAAATATACCACAGATAAGCCGAAATTATTTACAATCCAAGAAAAAAGGAAGTAAAAGAAAAAAGATATACTTTAATTGATTAAGTTTGGTTCCTTACACAACATAGTCTTTATCCTGTAAGTACCTACTGCAACAAAATAGAGATACCCGACTTTAAAAAAAAGAAGGTTACAGTTTGACCCCTATAAAAGACGTCCTATACTGTATTATAAAAGCGACATACGCAAAAAATATCTTGGAAAACTGAATTGTACAACCAATACACATTACCACGCCCAGAAGGATGGCTCGCGGCGATGCTTGTGTCAATATTCGATGTCAACAGTCCCTGTGAGTTCGGCCCTTTAGTACAAGTTACGAGATGGAAGCGTATTTAACCGACTTTTTAAAAAAAGTGTTAGTTATAATAAGAGTGTTTGGACCATTGCGTACAACGCAAATAATGTAAAGGAGAAAATTGTTAAGTAGCGTGAGATAAAAAAAATATTAGGAAAATTTGAAGAAATTGTACAACCAATACACATTACCCTGTCCTAGAAGGATCGCTGGCAGTGATGATTTGCTTACGTCAATAATTGCTGTCTACATTCCCGTGAGTTCGGACCTTTAGTACAAGTTACGAGGTGGAAGCACAAAGTAAGTATTGGCTAGGAAGCGTATTTAACCGACTTAAAAAAGAAGGTGACAGTTTTGACCCATGTGAAAGACAACCTACATACTGAATTATAAAAGTGACAAACGCTTATAATATCTTGGAAAACTGAATTGTACAACCAATACACATTACCGTGTCCCAGAAGGATCGCTCGCGGCGATGCTTGTGTCAATATTCAATGTCAACAGTCCCTGTGAGTTCGGCCCTTTAGTACAAGTTAGGAGGTTAAAGCGTTTTTATCAGAGTTACAAAAAGAAGTCACCAATTTTATACATGTAAAACTAAAGTGCCACCATACCTACCACAGTAAATAGTCGAGCTTGGCAGGCAGGTTGTCGAGCGCATCGCGACGTGTTGAATTCACAGGGAATACTTGTGCCCATTTCCTGGATGGATTCACCTATGAGTCGCCTTTACGACACCCATGGTTGGAAATGGTTGATGCTATCCTGCCTACATGTGGTCATACAAATACGCCAAAAGGATTTCGGTACGGAAATTTTAAGACTTCTTCTGCCCTTTATTATTCCCATAAATGAAAATAAGAAACTGAAAAAATTACATGAGTCGACCGGGGCTCGAACCCGTGCCGCATGAGTCAGCACCTTACCGCTCTGCCACTGAGCTATCGACGCACCAATTGATGCGCACCATCAACCTTTTATTACTTGTCAGCAAGTGACGATCTAACGACATCTGTAGAAAGTATTTACAACTTTTTTCTGTCCTTTTACCATATCACTGAATTTTGACCTGATGACTTGGGTTTGAGACCACCAAATTAGGAAAAATAAAACTCATGTATTGGAATTTTTTAATGCACTCACAGTGCTATATTATTCTCATAAATTAAATAATGAGAAAATTGAAAAATTCACTAGCGACCGCCGGGACTTGAACCCGGGACTGTGGATCAACGTTCCACCGCTCTACCGACTGAGCTACGGGCGCCTAGCGGACCCAAGTGAATCTTTCAACCTCTTGATGCTCGTCTCGAAGCGACGAGCATATAGAGTAAGTTATGGGTAAAAAAGGGTTTAAATTTTGTATGGAAAATCATTTTTTTTAAATGCGGTCTGTTTCAAAATTTGTGATTAAATCAAAGAGCTAAAATTATTAAATACGTGTTTCAGGGATTTTTCGATTTTTAGCCCATAAAGGGGTAAAAAGGGTTTAAAAGTTTGAATGGGAAATCATTATTTTTAAATGTGATCTGTTTCAATATTTGCGATTAGATCAAAGAGCTAAAAAAATGAAATACGTGTTTCCGGGGTTTTCGGTTTTCGACCTCTAAAGGGGTAAATAAAGGGGTTAAAAGTTTGTATGGAAAATCATGATTTTTAAATGCGATCTGTTTCAAAACTTGCAATTAGATCAAGTTAAAAAAATTAAGTACATGTTTCAGGGATTTTCAATTTCAATTCTTAACACCTACAGGGGTAAAAGATGGGTTGCAGCGGGTGAAACCGCTGACGGGCAGCTAGTTATTAATATTATACTGCGACTTAACGCTTTGCCTACCCCCTAGGGATAAAAATGTGATTTTTGCGTGTGTGTTATAACTTATAATGTAATAATATCCAGGCAGAAATAGGTACTAGCGTTCCTTGTCTTCTTTTTTGAGTGGGACACCAAATCGTCCAACGCTCAGATGAATCCTGGTGTCATAGTTTTTCAGCCGCCTACTACAAGGAGCAGGCCTCTGACTATACATTTTGCACTTCGCTTGCTGATCCACTTGCTACGTCTGTAGCCTCATACGGTCTGTGATACTCTTGCTAATTGCGTGATTAATTAGCAAACACACAATACGGAGAAGCTTATTTTATTTACGAATTTATTATTATTAACCTGATTGCCATTTTGAGGTAAAAATAAATATCCCTGGAATAGACACACAGCGCCATGTAGCCCCTAATGAGTCAAAGCTTGTGTTACATTAGACATAGAAACACCCTGACTAAATTCAAATATTTAAAAATTTTATCATCGTCGTCATCGTTAACAGCCACAATAAAGTCCTTAAAAATTTACTAGACTAATATTTTGGAATCAAACCCTCGGCGTAAAAAGCACGGGTAGGTACTAACCGCCATCAGAAAAACTATCAGGATCTTTATGCTTTATTTTTATTTCAGAAAATACTTTGAATCTATCGATATGGACATCGATTCTATCCGCTCGCACAACACTACGCTCGGGTTAATCCGGCAAAAACCTGGTTTTGCCCGGAACATTGTTGCTCCTTGTTTTTGTGGATGTTTGTTGACGTTGCTGCGGTTCTTTAAAATTGAGGTTATAAATCTAGGTGACCTGTTCTTTAAACTGTAGTATTTGTGGTTTTTGAACCATGTTGATTTTATATTAGTTGGTATACCCCCCCCAATACGGGGGAGGCCCATGTCCAGCAGTGGACTGTTGTGGCTGTAAAGGTAAGGTATTAGTTGGTATATAATGACATCTTTTGCGTTGTTTTGCTCTACTGTAGAGGTATAAAAGAAGAAACAATACCTTGTTTGATTTTTGACCCTTCATATGAAGTTTCTTGGTAAGATACATCTACATGTATCAAGCCTATATTCCTTGCGGGGCATGCAGAGCGTAATCGGCGGCTGTAAATACCAGCCATTTACACCAAGTTTGACAAAATTTTGAGAGTCATTCAGAAGACTAAAAGTACCTATCACTGAAGTAAGTTTTCAGCCTGTCGCCTCAATTTGCAATAAATACCCATTAAACTCTCAAAAAATGTTCTTTCTCACTTATCTATCCCCAGTGCTCAAAATTGGTCTAAAATGTTGGTAAAACTGTATCTATCTGATGTTCACTCTGAAAAATTACCTGGGATGATACCTATTTTTAACCTCCATAGCACAACAAACTTGTTACCATTAAAGTCAAAAGCACTCAATTAAACTCAATTGCAATATACAGGGGTCGGCATGATTTATCACCGGATTCATAATATACCGGCTTGTTTGTATGTTGGTATGAATGAATACAAGGTGTTATAAAAAGTACAGCGTGTATTTCAAGTGGTAAACTCGCTCTAGAAACAAATTTTTTCTCCAAGGAACATAGGTAGAAATGTGAGGCAATTTGGTATTCTCATATGAAATTACTCGGGCACAATTTGTAATGGATATTCAAATTATTTCTTTTATTGTTATTGACATTCCTTGAGGAAAGTTGTTTAGTTTCACTAGCTGACTCGCCCTTTCAAAGGCACGCACTACTTTTCATATCACCCTGTATGCAGACTTGTGTGTACGATGGTGCTGTATAATCCGTTTCCCACATATCCAGTGCAAATTGCTTTATTTGGCGACAAATTAAACAATACTAATTAAGCTGCGGCGCCGCAATCCGGCCCTGGACAACCCAATTTGCGCCTTGCGCCGGCTCTGGCTTCAAACGTGTTATTTTCAGGAAGTCAAAAAAGGCAGGGGTATATTTTTGTATTATTTAAAAAGTTTCATTAGTCTCTTGCCGTGTGGTGCCGGCTTAGAATAGCATCATCCCATATTCAGCGTGGGTGTCGTAAGAAGCAACTATAAGGGAATGAAAAGTTGATGTTTTGCAATTATACAGGATGTAAGGGACGGTGTACCGAAAACTTTGCAGGCTTGATCAGGACATGAAACTGAACGACTTTTACTTTGGAGCCAATGGTGGGAAACGAGAAAAAATTTCCGACCTTCCATACAAAATTCACGATCAGCTGACTGACTTTGTATGGGAGGAAGTCAAAAAGTCCCATGGAGAAAGTTGTTCAGTCTCATGGTCTGAACACGCCTGCAAAGTTTTCGTTACACCGTTCCTTACACCCTGTATAGGTGACAGGCTGACGACCTTTGTTATAAAATAAGATTTATCTGCTATCTCACCTGTTGGTCAGTTATGATGATGCAGACGATGTCTGTCACTATGACGATACAAACAGAATGACTCTTAAAGTTTTGTCAGGCGTACAAGGGTGACGGCCGCTTTTACAATTGTTTACGCTCTGCTTACCCCGTAAGGGGTATAGGCTTAATACAATCACACAGTAAAAAATTAAGACGCTTTTTCCTCTGATTGTCATGGAATTCGCTAACGCCTCCTGACTGATTTTGACGCGTTTTTTAATAGAAAGAGTGATTCAAGAGAAAAGTTTACATGTATTACACATGCTGGGAAAACGTCTTTTTCCCGCGGGAAAATGAATTGCAGCGGGTGAATCCGCTGACGGGCTGCTATAATGTATGTTAAAGAGTTACTACGAACCAGACTACGTCGTAGCCATTCGTAGCGGAGAGCTACGAAAATCTAACAATACGTTTAACAAAATAGTTTTTCTGGCAGACAATGACGTTGCAACTTTGTATTTCGCTAATCCACAAAATGCGCATAGAAATTTAAAACTGGTGGGGAGTCTACAGAAGTAGTAATAGTAAGGCGGTTTTCATACGCACCGCAGGATTCTACGGTGTTTTTGCTGGATGAGGTTTTTTCACGAAAGTTTTTAACAAGAATCATATGTCATGGCATGGCAAAAGTTGCCGTGTATATTTTTGACTGTCAGAAGTAGTCATATGTTTGGAGGCTATCACGAATCGCTTTATTCTCCGATAAGATTGCAAATTCGTCATACAAAATGACAACCTTTAACAGCAATTTAATGCGACGATGTGTGGCATAGTCGAATATTCATTTAACAACCGGACCCGGCAAATTACCGCAAATCATGAGGCATATATGGAAACCACCTTCAGCAGCTACAGAAACAGACAATTTGTATTCCAGTAGCGAAGTTCGATTCCCGTGCAAGTTCAATCCGGCCTCTGTTGCAGCTCTTTTTCGTTTACTCTTTTACAAATAAAACCTATGACAGCTGCATTTTGATGCGGTGATAATGATATTATATGGCTTTTTTATGGAACTAATACAGTCAAAAAACTGGTTTCGAAAAAATACCGCAAACTCATGAGGCATGTGTGGAAACCACCTTCAGTAGCAACAGAAACAGACAATTTGTATTCCAGTAGCGGAGTTCGATTCCCGTGCAAGTTCAATCCGGCCTCTGTTGCAGCTCTTTTTCGTTTACTCTTTTTTTTGACAGAACGAAGCGGAATTAGGACAATGTTGCGCAGTAGAGAAAGCTCAGTTTGTACTGTAAAGACAGATAAGGAACCGTCATGATGAATGATGTTAAATAATAAAAGATATTACTTTGTTCTGTTGTAATTATAAGAACCCACCCTTTATAAGTAAACTTAGCACCATTTCTTTGCGATTTGCATTATCATCAATTTTATTACTTTATTTTACCAAGGAAAAACTACATCAATAATTTAATCTTAAATACCGGCTGTATTTTGTCCTTTGCCACCTAAATAACACACATCACATTAACCTTAGCAGATCCTAGAGCCCCTACTGGCGTAGGCTTCTCGCAGGGTACCATACAGCACCATCTAGTCACTACCCGCCACCCGCTAACGCCATTTCGAAACCCGACATAACGACGCTACTTTTTAACGAAGTTTCTTTTACGCGAATGTTTTACATCAAGGGTTCGTTTTATCGAAAACTATTTAATGAAACCATCGTTTATCGATGGCTTATTTCATTGACGGTTCATTTCATCGAAAAA